CATCAGAGAGTTGCTGGGATATGTCTTGCCATACAGGTGCTGCGTACTCCAAAATTGATCTAACATTGGATATATAGACTTTATGGATATGCTCTGGTGGTACATTTGCATGTTTTAAAAGTCGTAAAGCATATAATCGTTTGGAAGCTTTGGCGATTATATATTCAACATGTTTGTTCCATTTAAGATTCTCACTAATTATAACACCTAATAACTTAAAKGACTTTACTTTTTCCACTTGGTGACTACCAATGCAGATTGGGCGCATTACAATGTTAGGGTTTAACATGAAATTGATGTACATTTCTTTGCAGTTTTTGGGATTYAATATCATTCTGTGATCTTTGCAGTAGTCGTGGATTTCTCTGGAAACTAGATCTAACATACTGATAGAGTTTCGTGGGATAATTTCCACAGCGGTGGTATCGTGTACAAACTTTGTGCGTAGTTTCCAGTTTCTTAGTAACTTATCAATCATAATGTTAAATAGAGTCAAGCCAAGTTTACCGTTCCTTGTAGAACACCTCCATTTACATGGTTCCAAGGAGATACCGAGTGATCGGAATGATCGGATCCAAAGTATTAGAGTTGGGTCAACATTAAATGACATAAGTTCATGTAACAGTACTGTGTGATCGATTATGTCAAACCCTTTCGTGAAATCAGTGAAGAAAATACGTGCCGAAGCGTTTCCAGTGTCAGTGGATTCATGTACAGCCTGCAACAGGTAGATCAAGGCATGAGTGGTGGAGTGTCTGCGTTGTGCGTACTGACGAGGATCRATGTCGTCAGATATTTGGTCCAAGAGCCTTTTGTTGGTAAATCCCTCMAGCACTTTGGCTAAGCAGTTAGTTAGTGCGATAGGTCGTAAGTCTGAGGTAATGTCCTGGGGGGGCGACACCTTTGGAACAGGGATAACGATTGATTTTTTCAATATCGATATCGGCTGATAATGTCTTCGGAAGAGAAATAGTCCTCAAAATATCACAAATGTTCATTTTTCAGACCATTTTTCATCCTTGAACATTGTCAGCCGAAAATTACTATATTAATCCTCTCTTACTGTCTGAACCCCTTGATATTGCAATATTTATCTGATATTATAAGACTATCGATATTATCAAAAAAAGCAAGTTCACTGACTGTACATGTATTTCTTAATATCCGATATTTATCTGATATTATAAGACTATGGATATTTTCAACAACAAAAAAAAACAACAAGTTCACTGACTGCATTTCTCAATATCTGAACCCCTTGATATTGCGATATTTATCTGATATACAGCCTTTCGCAAAAATTATGAGAAGTTGAAATATCTAAATATCATAATATCAAGTGCATGATCCCGCACGATGCCCTTAGTCCCTTGTCTTTGTTGTTTAGTTTTTTTGGGCGACGTACTTATCCGTAGTTCCGAACATTTTCTCGATGTCAAGAATGAATTATTCTAGCAAACCCGCGTGTTCCGGACAATATATGGATATGGATATTATGATATTTAGATATTTAGACAATTCTCATAATTTTTGCAAAAGGCTKTATAAGACTATCAATATCATCAAAAAAAACCTAGTTCACTGACTGTATTGGTTAATATCCGATATTTATCTGATATTATAAGACTATCGATATTATCAAACATGTGCTTGCCAAATACGATCATGCGGGCAGTTTTTAGAAATATCGGATAATTGTCCGATAATGCATTCAATATTTTTAAGGAGGAAAATATCGACTTAGCTATCAGATGTTCAATATTGTGTCAATACCGCGCCTAAAGTTGTCCATTTTGGAAAATCATAATCATTTTTTGTTTCATCAAATTTGGGACAAACTAAAGCACAGTGAGTGCTTGGATATTTGAGAGGAAAATGGTGGATTGAATGAATTTAAACTATATCACCGAAATTTGACCCTCAAGCCAATTAGGGCTTCAATGGATTTTTGTGTTGTCTTTTTTTTATATTGTCAATATTGCAAAATTTATATCTAAGAATACATTATTTATAAACATATCAACCTGTGAGTTGTGTTTTTCTTTACATTTCTGTGACGTTTCAGACCATTTAATTCATATTT